GAATCAATACATAGAATTGGCCACAGCAAGGCGCTGTCTCGCTGCGCTCTGCTTCCATTTGCTCGTGCCTTCCATCAAGCGAGAAGGTTCAGAAGACATCTGGACTGCGTCCGCAACACTTCCGGTTCTTCGCAAGGCGGTTCCGCGCCCACAAATAAAAGTAAAAATACCTTGTCGGTCAATGACTTGTCGGTCATGAAGCAATAGATAGATAGATAGATAGATAGATAGATAGATAGATAGATAGATAGATAGATAGATAGATAGATAGATAGATAGATAGATAGATAGATAGATAGATAGAAGAAGACAAAAGACAGACAGACAGACAGACAGACAGACAGACAGACAGACAGACAGACAGACAGACAGACAGACAGACAGACAGACAGACAGACAGACAGATAGATAGATAGATAGATAGATAGATAGATAGATAGATAGATAGATAGATAGATAGATAGATAGATAGATAGATAGATAGATAGATAGATAGATAGATAGATAGATAGATAGATAGACAGACAGACAGACAGACAGACAGACAGACAGACAGACAGACAGACAGACAGACAGACAGACAGACAGACAGACAGACAGACAGACAGACAGACAGACAGATAGATAGATAGATAGATAGATAGATAGATAGATAGATAGATAGATAGATAGATAGATAGATAGATAGATAGATAGATAGATAGATAGATAGATAGATAGATAGATAGATAGATAGATAGATAGATAGACAGACAGACAGACAGACAGACGAACAGACAGACAGACAGGCAGGCAGACAGACAGACAGACAGACAGACAGACAGACAGACAGACAGACAGACAGACAGACAGATAGATAGATAGATAGATAGATAGATAGATAGATAGATAGATAGATAGATAGATAGATAGATAGATAGATAGATAGATAGATAGACAGACAGACAGACAGACAGACAGACAGACAGACAGACAGACAGACAGACAGACAGACAGACAGATAGATAGATAGATAGATAGATAGATAGATAGATAGATAGATAGATAGATAGATAGATAGATAGATAGATAGATAGATAGATAGATAGATAGATAGTGTATGTATGTATGTATGTATGTATGTATGTATGTATGTATACTGTCACGAGTCTTCAGAAGTATACAATGTTTAATTGTATTTGTGTGTGTAATTTTTGTAATGACGATTGCCCTTTATTCTGCATGACTTCTCAAAACTTTATGCTGCCTTGCGTGCAGGAAAAACGCATTACAAAAACAGGACTAATTAGCAGGATTTATTTTGAGAAGAACAAAAAAATCAAAACGCCCCACTTTTCTCTGTGTTGTCCAGCGCACATTATGTCAGCGCATGTAATTTTTCTCGCGCCCATTCTTGCCAACAGGAAAGTCATATCGTACTCTTCGAGTTAAAAGAAAACTGTGTCGCACTTGTTTTGCAGGCGCCGCGATTTTTCAACGCGTCTCAACAATCACTTTTTTCATTTCTGCAAAATTCACAAACGTCGACACCTACACGTTAGGGACAGTGCACAGTGCCTGCCAAACTCGATCGCCGGTCAACTTGACGCCGATTACGAAAGGCAGTATGAACGATGCCCGATTGTGCGGAAAAATAAAGAAGACAGTACAAGAAAGCTGAAAATAACAATAAATGACGCGGCAATTCGCAGGAAGCCAGCGCAATGCAAAAGTGAACAATTACAGGTGCAATAGAAGAACAAAACGGTAACTGAGCGTCCCCCTGCGCTTTCCACTCTCACAGTTTCTCACACAGAACAGAGCTTTCGAATGCAACGTGACAAAAGCCTTGGACGCGAACGAAGTGCTTTAAAGCAAGGAAGATACGCAAACGCGCAAGCACACCCAGGAAGGGCATCACCGGCCGAACAGTAACTCGAGAGCCGCTGTGCCCACATAGAAAAGGGCGACCTGGCTTCGAGAGAGAAGGCGGCACAAACGCGGATGCGTTGTTTTCAACGGCACGCACGGCAGGCCGTTTGTTCCGTATACCTTGGCGAGCTTGCGCGTTCTATATATGTGTTATACATGCGAGCGAGGGCTCACGTATGCGCCTGTTTGGCCTGCGACCGTTTGCGCACCTTCGTTTCGCTCGGCCGACAAACTAGCGGGCAACAATCTAGCTAGCGTACGTACACGGTCGCATAAAAAACGGCAGCGGCCGACCGACCCAGCGAATCTCGGCGCGTTCAGCTGCAGCATCGTGCCGATCGAGAGCCGCAAAAGAAAACTCTCCGCGTGCGCGCGTAAAGCGAACGTGTACGTGCCCCACCCCGGTGCTCCTCCCTGGCTTATAGGGGCACCATCCCGGTAGTAAGGTGCAGCGCAGAGAAAGCTACAACCTTTTTCGGCTGTCTACGGAACGACTCCTACGAAGCTGTTCGAACGTGTGGAAACAGGGGGTCAACGAGACTTAGTCAACGCGACTAGTTTAGTCACTCACTGTTTCAACACCCGTGACAACGCTTTCGGGGACGCAAACCGCGCAAGTGTCGTTCTTACGTAGAACGACACATCAGAACTTGCGCTTCCTGGTTAGCTTGCCTCAGCTCTGGGGTTGCTGCAGTGAATTTTTTTTTTCGTAAACCGCCGCGCGCTCGCACACTGCCTTCGCACACTAAGCGCGCGACGAACAAGCCCGAGCTGTTCGCGGGAGCGACATGAGAGAACCGATAATACAGCGCTGGAAGGTGTATAGGGTCCATGTCCAGCACTAAACAAAGAATAAAATTCACAAATATTTCAAAAGAACGGCCGTCAAAGAAAGGCTATCTCTGCTGTGCTAAAAGGGAGATCCTTATGTAAAAGAACGGGCGGTGGAATAAAGGCTTAAACGGGCGTAAGAGGCCAGGGAAGGACAGAGAAAGCGCGGGAAGGAAATCGTCCAGCTGCTCTTCTCTTTACCGAAAAAAAAAAAAAAAGACAGCCGCCAAGATAGCGAAGTCGTAAAGGGGCGCCTCCGAGAAGCCCTGCTTCCATCGGTGCTGTTTCCTTACTTGTGTAGCGCACACGGGAAAGCCCTTAAAGAGTAGTGCCGCCTTTTATACGCTTACATAGTATACCTGCGAGCCTCGTCGTAATAGCGAGGACAAAGGAGGCAGATGCCCGCCAGGAAAGGCGCCGCCAAATGTGAAGGATTCGGCCGGTGAGAGAAGAGACTTGGACGGTTGATCTTTCTCTCCTCTTCTGATACGCCGAAAAGTAACGTACAACGCGCAAGTGTATAAACACGACCCGGTGGCAGCAGTTTTTTTTTTCTTCTCACATAGCCGGATAAATGCTATAGAGAGAGAAAATCGAAGCGAAACGAACATTATAGACGAAGGCGAAAACAGCGAGCCGCCGCTCTGCGGTAACAGCCGCCGTTCAAGAGACGACGACGCCGAAGAGACTCCTTCGAACGTGTCTTCGCTCCTTCTCGAACGTTCAATAAATAACTCCCACGAGTATCGGCGTGTATACGACCGCGCAAGCTAAAAGCGAGCAGGTGCCGTACAGGACCCGGCCTAAGCGGTGGTGAAGCGGTGCCTAAGTCGAGATGCCACCACTTGGACACTTGAAGGAACGTGTCGCCTCGACTCGTGTTCACTGCTCGCTTCCTTCCCTCTCTGGTTGACTTCCCTACCTCTCAGGATCTCATATCTCGCCTCTTCCTGATTACCGCGTTTTCCCTTCTTTTTTTATCGCACTTCAATGATGCATCACTATTTACACAGTTAGTGTAGCACAACTTAAAACGCTTTGTGCCAATATCTTTGCATTATGTTATGGCTTAGGATCAAAAACTAATTAATGCTGGGGACAAAAGTAATTGTTCCTAAATTAACCTCGGGAAAAAGTAACTTTCAAAAATACGCACACGTATATCACGGTGGAATCTTGAAGTGAACCAATAATAAATTTAAGTTAGAAGAAGGTGAATTCTTAGTCATCTTTCACTTCATATAGATAAATGGTGCCACAAAAGGCGGCGGAAACTTTTTTAGGAGCGAAGCTCCTTAAGGCGTGGGCTGTGCGTTCCCTGTATGTAGCCACCTCTCGTTCAGTTCTAAGTATTACGCTAGCCACCGCCCGATCTAAAGTATACAGCCATATCCATCCGTCCATCCGTCCATCCGTCCGTCCATCCATCCATCCATCCATCCATCCATCCGTCCGTCCATCCATCCATCCATCCATCCATCCATCCATCCATCCATCCATCCATCCATCCATCCATCCGTCCATCCGTCCGTCCGTCCGTCCGTCCGTCCAAAAGATGCAAGATGTTATAAACTAGACGGCGGTACGTGTAGTTGATTATGAAAGATGCGAGGTGTTATAAAATAGGAATGATGCCACATATGGCGCGTGTCATCGTTCGATATAGTGCGGCGACGCACGCTAGGGGGAGCGTTGCAATAAAATCGAGTGGGCAAAATGTACGGAGGATTCATGGTTTACCAGGTTTACCTCCGGAGCTTCGCCCACTCATCATCATTCACTTCGTGGATATGGCGGCATTTTTTATCACTCACTTTTCTAATTTTAGACTAGAATTTCAGCCCGGAAGCCTCAAGCCAGGTCGCTTTTCATTTACTAAGAGCGTCTTAGATTTTACAAAACCATTGAATATTTAACGCTTCAGCGTAAACCGTAGATCTCAACCAAATAAACCTCGGAAACTTTGAGTGCAATCGCAAAGCTGTTTGGGTTGTTCTGTACACCCGGCTGTTAGACAACGCTAACTCACTCTTCCACGCTATATCTAAAAGTACTTACTAAGAACTGCTATTAAGAGAGACATTGGTGCTAAAGTTTCGAACCCAAAATCGTAGGTCTATAGTAAAATAGCTAATAGTAAAATCATAGGTCTATTATGTGTCTTGTACACACATAATACATAAAGTATTAACGTGTGCGCGTTTATCAATGCACATTTTGCACACGAACTGCTTTCTGTTTGGGTTTTCAGTGCTCACCTTGAAGGTCACGTGACAAGAATTCTGTGCAGCAACGCACTCCGGGCGAAGACGCTGGTCGGAGTGTGCAGTGGGGCCTGAAAGACCGAGAAAAGAAGGTGATTGAGAGTGTTGTTAAGAGCAACCCAATTAAGTATAATATTCTGTATTTATATATATACACACTGTCAAAGCAGCCGTTTCGACTGCAGCAAAGTAACTTTGCCACTCCATGTGGTAATAGATATTTACACGTGTACAAATATCATATCGGTATTTGTTTCTAATATTTACACATTTCTAGGTGACCTAGCCCAAATTTAATGCGCGACTGTAGCACAGTACGCTAATTTACTTGCTTCAAAAATACACAGCCCCACACGTCATGCGTGTTTGCGTGAATGCGTGTGCGTCGTTCTCTCTCTCTCTCTCTCTTACTGTGTGTGTGTCGTGTACAAGTATCATACCTGTATTTGTTTCTAATATTCACACATTGCTAGCTGACCTAGCCCAATTTTAATGCGCGACTGTAGACAGTACGCTAATTTACTTGCTTCAAAAATACACAGCCCTACACGTCAGCCGTGTTTGCGTGAATGTGTGTGCGTTGTCTCTCTCTCTGTCTGTCTGTCTGTCTGTCTGTCTGTCTGTCTGTGTGTGTGTGTGTGTGTGTGTGTGTGTGTGTGTGTGTGTGTGTGTGTGTGTGGTGTGTGGTGTGTGTGTGCGTGTGTGTGTGTGCATGTGCGTGTGCGTGCGTGTGTGTGTGTGTGTGTGTGTGTGCGCGTGCGTGTGTGTGTGTGTGTGTGTGTGTGTGTGTGTGTGTGTGTGTGTGTGTGTGTGTGTGTGTGTGTGTGTGTGTGTGTGTAACCTCTAAGCAGAGTTATGCGAGAAAACAAATGTACTTAGTGCAAGTTCGTTGGCATAAGCGAAATATTACTTAATTATTATTATTAAATTCGTCTCTTTTCTGTTCACAAAAAATATTAGTCAATAAGGAATATGCTTCGGAAGGCGCTCGCATAACACAACTGCAAGCTAAACAGGTTAAAGATGGCGCCGCTAAACGAGCGCGCTTTCCACAGAATTCACAATATGCGTTCATCGTTTGAAATCTTTCTTGGTCCAAGGATACGCGTCTTATTTTGTTTTGTGTTTTTTTCGCCTTTGAAGCCGACACCGTGCTAGGCTAATAAGGGAACCTCAGCATGAAAGCCATAATAGCACCCAAAAAGCTCGAACAGAGGAAACAAGAGGGAAACGCTGTTCCCTTGGAGGCAATATGAACGTTTCCTCATAAATGTAATAACCTCGCGACAGAGCATCATCGTTCTGAGCCAATTAACCAAGCTGCACTGATGTACTGGAACAGGTATACAGTCTTTTAGCGTTTACATCGACGAAAGCGCTCATCGGCAGCCGCTGAACCGGCAGAAATTCGTACTGACGTGCAAGTTCATCGCGTTACAACGTGCGCGTGAATTACGTAATCAGCTTAGCACTGCTGATGTCAACAACGAAATTTCATCAACTTCCACGTCGTCTCGTCGTTCCCGTCAGCGCCCCGAACGAACTTCGCAATAAATAATATATCGAGGGAGCGATGCAAGACCAAGTTGAATAGTTCGGCTTCTTCACACTATTTTCTCCCCGTTCCGGACAAACGGATGCTATAGACATGTTTTCTATTTTTATTTTTCTGTCGTAGCCACTCCTAGAGTTGCCATATAAAAAACTGGCTCCAGTTATTGGAGAAATTGAAAATTGGGACCCCTATAGAAGCTTGGCGACGCAACTCGTTTGCGACCCGCCAGGGCGCATGCGCAGAGCCTAAGTCAATTCTGAGTTTTTGTGTTCGTGTTGGCCCAAAGTCCAGAAATTGAAAAATGGCATGGGTTTTTAAGGCGTGTTGCGTCACCCCGTGTGCGACTAGAAAGTGAAAAAAAAAGAGCCGTACGCGTCGCTGTCATCCAAATCCATTGTTATCAGTCTGCTTAAATACTTTAGAGACGCGCGGGAAGAATGACCAGCAGACTTCTTTTTTTTTGTCATTTACGGCATAGCGTGCGTCTGACCCAACGCAAATCAGCGTGGGGACCCAGTGTCTTGAGCCACTGACTCTCAAACTCTCTATTACTTGTCGGCGCGATTAACAGACTTCTCACGCTAAACTGTTGGCGAGAATCTGATAAGGACACGCTTATGGCTATTGCTGTCACACTCTCCACCTGACACTCAGTCCCTGATCATATAGGCGACTGCCCATAAATACCATTAAAATTTTTGTTCCATAGTTTCTTATTTTCCAAACAAAATTATTTGCGTAATGAAACGGACTTTAACTGAGAATCAAGAAACCACCATGGGTTGTCGCGGTCTAAGATTGGTCTTTACCCCCTAAAGGTGAAGCCAAATAATACATATGAGAGGCAGTTGAAAGGACACTGGAACGCTTCGTTGTTTTGGTTTGCTTCCCTACATAAATAAGAAGGGCGAGAGAGAATAAAAATGGGAAGGTCGATCGAGACAAAAGGCCGGCATGCTAAAAGAAAAGAAAAAAATATACGAAGTTTACAGCTATGGTCAAGGTGTCGGCAACATTACCTCCCTCGTGTAGAGTACCGAGCACTCTAAATCGTTAACCACGTTTTCTAAACACACTTTAAGGACCGTGGCTCACTGCTCTCCATAGTTGAGTACGGAGTACTAAAAATTGTTAAACACGTATCCTAAACACACGTGGAACCATTGTCTTCAGCATGTACATATTCAGCATTACCTCCATATACGCAAAGCTTACTCAAACTCAGTCAAGAATATGACAATAAATGCTGTAAAATTTCAACAAGGCTTTCGTCAGGCATTCTCTCTCTCTCTCCTTCGCTCTCATCACGTCATGCGAATCGTGGTCGTTAAGCGCCCACAAACGTGGAGGCTTGCGCAAGTTAGTGGTTTAATTGTGCTGAAAAAAAAGGAGGGGGCAAACGGCAAGGCAGACGAGAGAGAGAGAGAGAGAGAAAGAGAAAAAAGAAAGAAAGGCAATCATCACAGGTATACGCACACCACAGCGTCATTCAGGACGTTACGTCGCTCCAATATTGCAACAGCCACCGGAAGTAATCGATCAGTACCGTCTTCATCGCCTCCTTCTTAAAAAGCTCTTACGCGTTAATTCTACATCCGCCTTTTTCTTGCTTCTCGCGACTGAGTCTTCGTTTTACGGACTTAAAGAAGGAAAAATATAATTGTCGTCGTTGCATCAACCTGACACTTCATACAAGGCACCCCGGGCAGCCGTAAGAGCCGGACGGTCCAGCCATGGACGGGCCTTTCTGTCCATTGTTCTCCGTCGTCTTTCTTAAGATTTCCGTTCTGTGTCAATGCCTATATTTCTCAGGCCTCTTCTATTTTTAAATACTTTTCACTGGTCACGGCGGCGCTTGGTGTCGGCGCAGACGTGCACGTCGGGAGATCGCGAAACCTCCGCATGTTCGCATACACACTGCACCACGGCCGAGACGCTCAGCGCAGGCGGTGAGCACATTAAAGATGCATCAGCCACTTTTCATTGGGCGTAGCCGCAGGGTCTCAAGCGGGGCGTACTTCACCAATCCACCTGTTCCTTCTAAAAAAGAAAAAATAAACACGCCGAAAGCTCTGAACTTAATTGCGACACCGTGTCGAGGCGGCACACGCACCCTTGCCACGATGGACATGGCTGCGTGGTGTGGCGTTCGCCTTCGGAATGGCAGGACGAAGGGTGAGGGTCCTTTGCTTCTATGCAAGATTCGCGCTTCTAGCCGATGTTTTTTCTCGTCAACTTTCTCGTTTGCTTCATTCTTTTTTTTTGTCTTCGTCATCTAGCTTTTATTTCTGTTCTGTCACGGCAATGCAGGTTAAGGAGCTGCACCCGAAAGTTCATAGCTGGTGACACACGGTACCTCAGGCGTACCATGCCTAAATGCGACTTTGCATACGGGGCTTCCGCGGTGAAGCCTTAACACACGACCTCACGCTGCATTATGCAAGAACAATATATATATATATATATATATATATATATATATATATATATATATATATATATATATATATATATATATATATATATATATATATATATATATATACACTTTGTTGTACTTCTTATATAGCTTGAGCTGCCGCTCCCTGATTAAGATTCTGTCATGCGGACACAAAGGAAACGCAAATTAGGAAAATGGGCGTCATAGTTTGAAAGTCTCAAAGAAACGTTGAACGCGATAGAGGGTGTAGGTGGAGGGAGCGATTATTAAATTCGCATTTATGTCAATGGGTTTGAAATCGTCTCTCTTAAAAAACGTACAGAGGTCGATATTAGGTATATTATTCTACATTTACGCAAGTTGCTGTTTTGTGTTATGGTGTATTTTAGAGCGTAATTAAATTTATTTTTCTGTACTAAGCAATGTAACTAGCCGCAGCCCGCTATATTGCTAATATTTGTGGCGTCTCCTCGAGAAAATGTGCATGTCTCGCTTCATGATGCAGCGTAGCTATTAAGTTTCGGCTCTATGCTATGGTACGAGACAAACAATCGAATTCTTTGCAGATATTGTATAAGAAAAAAAAGCGCGCTTAAACTATTGTGTGACACTCCTATGTAGCGATCGACTGCAGTCAGTCAAATATGCCGATTCATTTAGTTTTGTTACTCGCGACTCGACCGACTTTTGTTACTTAGTTTTTTTTTTGTCCACTATTTCAGAATTTTTTCGAAGTATCGGTCAGGTCTCGCTAAATCTCGCAGCGTCTCAGCAGGTCTCGCAAGGTATCGTCACATCTCGCGAAAATCTCGATTTCATGAGAATATAAATCTTCCGCTTTAATAAAACCGTAACAGTTCTAGAAGGACGTGCACGCCACAATGGTGACCTTCCTGAGCTGGAGAGCGCTATTTCATTACACGTATGGCTATAAGCAAGATTTCAGTAGTGCGCACTGAGGCGAAACGCTTCACATCGGATCCGTAGCTCGCGCGCAATAACTGTCCCACGCACACTAGAGGAGGATCATTATATTTCAATTTATCCTCGTCTTACGCTACTTTTTATGTTCT